CAACAGCACATAAAGGGTTCAGTTTGTATGTCCTCACCTCACATATTTTTTTGATGGTGGCCATTGGTAGCTCATCTGACAGGTATGAGCTAATAGCTCATTGTATTTGATTTGCATTTTCCTTTGATAAGCAATTTTGAACATCTTTTCACAGGTTTATATGGGCCATTTGTTGACATTCTCTGGAGATAGATACAGGCTTGCTAGTAAAGCTGTTTGCTCATTCAATTTTTTTCCTTTGGCCATTGTTAAGTTGGGTAATGTTGTTACTGAGTTGTAGGAATATGTTGTTTTTCTAACAATTGACCTCTTATACATGCATGGTTTTTAAAAACAGGATGCCAGTCTAGAAGTGTTTCTTCTATGTTTTCTTTGAGAAGTTGTGTAGTTTTAGGTCTTTAATTCACTTTGATTTAATTTTTTTTTCTTTTTTTGAGGCAGGGTCTCATGTAGCCCAGGCTGGCCTTGAACCCACTATGTAGCTACAGATGATCTTGAGCTTCTGACCCTCTTGTTTCACCTCCCAGAGCTGAGGTGGGCCATCTAGCCCAGTCATGTGGTGCTGAGGATCAAACCCAGGGCTTGTGTGTGTTAGGTAATCACTCTGCCGCTGAGCTGCAGCTCCAGACATTTTGAGTTAATTCTCGAATATAGTGTTAGGCAAAGAGCACTCCACTGCATGTTGATACCCAGTCTCAGAAACACTCCTTGTTGAGGAGACTGTCTCTCCCTGTGTGTTCTTGGTCCTTTATTGAAGATCACATGATTATATGCTCGAGGACTCAATTCTGTCTGTCTGTCTCCATGTCTGTTTTTACATAGTGTAACACTTAATTATGTTAGCTTTGCGATGTGTTTGGAAGTTAGGCAATGTGAGGCCCCAGCTGTTTTTTTGTTTTTGTTTGCCCCTTTTGTAAGATTATTTTGGACTGTTTGGAGTCCCTTGAGATTCTATATGCATGTTAGATTTTTTTTTCTCTATCTAGTTCTTCAAGAAAATGCATTGCCAGTTTGATAGGAATTTCATAGACTGTAATTACTCTAGGTGTTATGAACATCTTAGGTCTTCTAATCCATGAACATAGATGAGATGCTTTCCTACCTGTTTATTTTTTTCTCAGCAGTGCTTTACATTATAGTTTTTTTTTAAATTTATTTGTTATGTATACAGTGTTCTGTCTGGATGCCAGAAGAGGGCACCAGATCTCATTATAGATGGTTGTGAGCCACCATGTGGTTGCTGGGAATTGAACTCAGGACCTCTGGAAGAGCAGGCAACTCTCTTGACCTCTGAGCCATCTGTCCAGCCCTACATTATAGTTTTTGTCGCAAGTCGTTTACCTTTTTTGAAAGAAGATATGTATTATATGTAAGATTCGGTCATCTGCACTTAGGGACTTAGTTGGCTGGCTCCTTTCCAGTTTACTTGTGTTTTACTCATGTTCCTTGCCTCACTGCTTTGGCTAGAACTTCTAGTATTATATCAAAGAGGAACAGGGGTAGATGTCCTTGTTTTATTCCTCTTCTTAAAGGAAAAGCTTTCAGTTTCTCTTCATTGAATGTGATGTGAGTATCATTATTTTTCCAGACAAGGTTTCACTGTGCAGTCCATATTGGCCTCAGACTCATTATTTTCCTTCTGCTTGAGCCTCTCAGGTGCTGGATCACGGGTGTGTATCACCAAACTTGCCCGCCTTCTAGGTTTTGGTTTTGTTCTTAACTCAGGGTGGCCTTGAACTCACCAAATGGAGGAGGATGACCTTGAACTCCTGGTCTCTGCCTCCACCTCCCAGTGCTGGGATTACAGTGTGTGCCATTGTGCCCAGCTTGCAGTTCTTTTGTTGATTCCATTTATTCTTGCCCTATGTTCTCTGTGGCCAGCATGGTGCCATTTTTAGTTGGTTCACAAGTCTGCCTCTTGTAGGTTGTATTTCCCCTTCTCTGCTTTTTGATATCTCTAAATATTCCTAGGATGTCAACTTGAAAGATGCCACACCTGAACACCCCCTTCCTTCTCCCTTGTCTTGTGCACCTGTTGGTACCCATGCATTGTTACCAAGCTCATTCCCTCACTGCTGCCGCTGTCTTCTGACCCCTCCTTCTATCTGCTGGAACCCCTGTGTAATATGTCAGTGTACTTAGTGTGTTTCCACAAACACAGAGCCAGTTCCCGCCTTAATAGCCTCGGCTTGTTTCCCCTGGTGCATACATTTGACATCACCTTGCCTCTGGCATTTGATCTGCCATCTTCCTGCTGGTTAGCCCAAGTTGGATACTCACTGTTACCTGCGTACGAGTGCATAGGGATACGTCCATGCCTTTGCTTGAGCCATTTCCTCTTCTGCTTTTGGAATGCCTTTCCTTATCTTTGTCAATGCACCTGCGTTTAAAAAAACAAAACCAAAAAAACATTTATTTAGTGTGCACGCACATGCCATAATGTATACATGTCACAGTCAGGGGACCTCTTGATGGGAGTCAGTTTTCCACTGTGTGGCATCCAGGTGTCAAACCCAAGTTTAGCAGTAAGTGCCTTTACCCACTGAGCCATCCAGCTGGCCTTCGACATACTTTAAGGTCTACTTCAGGTGCCATCTTTTTACCAAGCACTAAACTGGCCTGTGTACTGCTTCTTAAAATTGTAAGCCCTTTTGATTTGACCTCTGTTCACTTTTCTAGCTATGTATCAGGCTACTGCCTGGGGGAATCCTGTGATTTACTACACACAGGAATCATTTCCTGTTCCTCAGAGCAGGAATACATACTCTTGTGCACATGTCATTTCCATCATGGCCTGTCTTCCACTTAGTGCTTTTTTCCCCCACGCTGTGGGTAGAATTGGTGTCAGTGCTGTTGGAACTAGTTCTGCATAGTAACTCATGTCTGACAGGGGACCTCTGTCTTTGGCAGAGTGGAAGGAATGGGCCTTTAAGCTTTAGTTTTGATGTGTACCAAAACTACCGCACCTCACTGTTTTCTGAACCTGGTTCCTGCTATAAAATGGGTGATTATTCAACTTATAAAATTAATATGAAGTGTAAGTGAGTCTAGGGGTGATGTATTAGTTTTATAATTGAAATGCTTGTCTAACATTATGAGACCCTTCGTTCCATCCCTGGCACTTAAAAAGGGGGTGGGTCTAGATGACTCATCTGGTAAAGGTGCTTGTTACCAAGTCTGACCAAGTTTGGTCCTCAGGGTCTCTGTGGTGGAAGGAAAGAACCAACCCCTGAAAGCTGTCCCCTGACCTTCCCATATGAATAAGCCTTCAGTAAATGGCGTTAGGCCTAAATCAGTAAACAAGTAAAGCAGGGACACTGGCTGCCACGTTCCATCCAGGGATCTGCCACACGTGGTCCAAGTGTGGGACGTAATGCCACAACAAGATGGGGCTGATGACAGAGTACAGAGAGCCTCTCTCTGCTTCTCAGTGGCTGGTTTGCCACCACAGATTCTTGTTAGAGATCAAGAGAGGCATCTCCTTCAGGGCAGCAGGGGCTTCTTCCCATGACACACAGCACAGTGCTTCTCCAAGAAGAAACAGCACATCCTTTGCTCCTGTTGTGCCGCTCTCCATTCATGGTGCCTCCCATGTTGTCCCAGGACCACTGAGCCTTCAGCTGGGCACATAACGTCCTGATTCTTTACCACGAATGGCCATTCTCTTCCCAGTCTGGTCTTCTTCGTAGACTCAACGTTCCTTGCAGTGGACATTTGCTGGTATTGGTCTGGCCGGCCTTTGATCTCTTCTGAGAGACATTTCTCAGGCTTTGGTGGGACGAGACCTGTGTCACATGGAGACACAGAAAGTACAGGTCCTCATTTTCCCTGCTCCATGACACCTGAACATGAGAATGTGACCCGGGCTTAGTGGAGACCCACTTTAGTGAGTGGCAGAGAGCCCCCAGGCCAGGTGCAGTGCTGTCTTCTGTGGGGTCCCCACTAGATTGTTCTTTGATTGACTTGTACTGAAGTTCTAACTTTGACTCCGGTTTGTACTGGCTTAGCAGTGCTTCTTTCTTCTTGCTCATGTTGGAGCTGAGGTTACTCATTGTTCTTCTAATAAGCTTCCTTTTTTTCTTTAAAGGAACACGGGGTGGACCCTGTCCAACTGAGGCCTTCCAGCGTGCAGTAGCCACCCATGCTTCTTCTAAACTGGCCATAATTGTTGCCACCTCTGGACGCTCTCACATTCTGCTCTACTCGGGAACATGCTTTATCCCATTCTTAATCTGTTTGACTTTTTCCTTTTTCAATGTTGGGGTTCAAACCCGGGCCTTGAGCATGTTGCATAAGCATTCCACCAGGGAGCCACACCTCAGCCCAAGTATACCAGCCCCACATTCGGGGGGGTTAGCTGCTCAGTGTTCCCATGGAACCTTCTGCATGTCTCAGTTACAGTAGCTGCCACTCCGGATCATAATTGTTTTCGTGTTCCTTGGAGAGACAGGCTAGTATTGAGTGGCTGTCTGTCTCTGGAAAGTAATAATTATGGTCTAAACTTTTCTTGTTGAGGGGAATGAGGAACTACTGACTATATACTAATATTAAAACTGTCCACTGGAATATGTTTTCCCTGATAAACTAAATGTGTTAAGAGCAGAGATCAAGTTCTTTTTGCCATTTATTTCTAGTACAGTAATTGGCCCTTGGAGTTTTAGAGTCAGAAATGAATGGCACAGATGTCTCAGGATTTGAGTTAAACAGTTTTTCTGTAACAAGATTTTTCTTTGCCTGTATAAATAAAAACGGGCTCAGCTTTGAAAGGTCCAATAGATATCTGTGCTCAGTTAGTGTCGAGGACAGATGCCGCCTCAAGGTCAAGCTAAGCAGAATTATTAGCTGAGCTACTGACAGTCTTAGTATAAGGAGCAGGTATATTCGATATGGCTGTTGGTTAAGAAGCCTCTCCTACTTTATTGCATGCACATGTGCTGTGTGTGTGTGTGTGTGTGACCTTATTCTGGATTGGCTTTTGAATTTTCTTCTTTCCTTTTTAGGTCCAAGACAACTTTGACAAGATTGAATTCAATAGAATGTGCTGGACCCTCTGCGTCAAGAAGAACCTCACGAAGAGTCCACTACTTGTTACCGAAGATGATGCATTTAAAGTGTGGGTCATTTTCAACTTTTTGTCTGAGGACAAGTATCCATTAATTATTGTGCCAGAAGAGGTAAGATATGGTTTTGGGGAGCTTTTAGGTGTCTTGGCACTGAGTAAACCTGGCCTGAAAATATTTGTGTTGATTTAGTGTTGATATTAGAAGCAGTATTTTTGGGGGGTGGGGTGGGGAAGTGGGGATTAGAGAAAAAAACAGGTTGAGTCCGTAAAAGCCTCCATTAGGGGTTTGGGGTAGGAAATACCCTTGGAGATTTGCAGGGGTGGTGAGACTCTGAGAATTGCTGTGGTTGCAGATGAATCCATCCTCATGCTATCTAAAGCGTATTTGTTTGGTATCAGAGACAACATAATTTTCAGTCTGCTTGTGGGAGAGCTGCCTGACACTCTGTGGGAAACACATAGGATCCGATGTCATTCTCTCGAGTGTTAGGAGTAGCTGCTGCTTTTCTTGTCTGGGATGGTGGTTATTTACTAGACTTCTCAAAGCAAAGCAGAGCACCTGTGCTAGCTTTGCTCTTTGTTGGTCTCCTGACCTTCCCAAGTATGGGCAGTAGCTGTGAATGAGGTTCCTATGCTGTTTTCTGGGAACCAGAGACACAGGAGAGGTTTGACCAGACATGGGTCTTTTCGAACAAAGATGCCGGCTTCCTGTGTGAGGAGGTCATGAAGTCATGGTCATGGTGTTATTGAGTCCTGTGGCTGACTTTTGGGCCTTAGAGTCCTCTGCAGAGCACAGCCAGGGACCTGGTATGTACGAGGTAAGGCCATAACCGGCAGATTAAATTTATATCCCCTCATTTCCTGTCTTCTCAAGCTGATAGTGCCTGGTTGTGGGGAAGTCTAGGTAAGGTTCAGTCCTGGGCAAATAGAGGTAGCACAGTGTTTGTTTAAAGCATGTTCTTTGAAACAGACTGATTTTGAAACCTGACTTTACCACTTATTCACAGAGTAACAAATCAATCTCCCGTCCTGGGTATCCCCATCTATGAAATGGGGATATTTGTCTTCTGCAGTGTACCCTGTAAGGCTGAAAAAGTTGACATATGTGAAACGTTTGGCGCGGTGCTTGAACCTGTGATACATGTTCACCAAAGAGATGTATTCATGCATGTTGGTAGTGAATGAACGAAGGACAAGTTGGTGAACAAATTTGTACATAATGATGGGTGTGGCATGTTTGGTGTTGTACGTAGAATATCCTTGTGGAAATACACAACTAGAGCTTGTGAGAAGCCAGGGCTGGAGAAACCACAGGAGAGGGTTAGGGCAGGGAGGAAGTGACTAACGTACACTTGTGAGGGCTGAGGAGAAGCTTGGGGCTGCCTCTGTAGCAGCAGGAGGAAGTGGATTTGGTAAAGGAAGCAGAACTGGGCAGGCTGTAAGATAAGAGGAGGCTGGAACATGAGAATTGCAGAAAAATCAGATAGTGATGAGAAGGGGCCCTGGACTTAACAATAGGTAGCCATCGATAGCGAGGAAAGGCAGTTTCTTTAGGTAGCGGGAACAGTCTTAGTGTTAAATGTGATTGTGTGTAGATATTAAGTGTGAGTAACTGTTAAAGGGGAATAGAAAGCAACATCCTAGAACACTGCCCAGCGTAATCCAGAGATCAGTGGGACAACGGTGGCCTAAAAAGGCCTTTAACAGACATGGCGGCTGCTCAGCCCTTACCTTGCTCATGGGTGAGGTAAGTGCTTTCTCCATTTGGGGGCCTTGTCCCTGAGCCACTACTGTGGTCAACTTCTTGGTGATTCTGAGGAGCAACAGGACCTACGTGGGCCTTGAAGGGCCTGATGCTGTCTTTGCTGCAGACCGGAGCCCAGCCTGATGCCTGCCTGCTTTCCTTCATCATTGCAGGCCAGCATGAATGTTTTGTCCTCCTTCAAGCACAGGAATCCTGTTTGGAGGAGAGTCTCTCTTGTCAGGAACCCTGTGGGCTTACTCTGTGCTTTGCATTCGTGAGCGTGTCAGCATCTCCCCGCAGTGTTAGAAATAGGAGCATGTGCCAAAGTTCCAGCACCAGGGAAGGCTGAGGCAGGAGGAGCGGGAGACTGAGGCCTGCCTGGTTTACAGGACAAGATCTGTTTCAGGTAGCAGAAGCAGAGTTAGACTTGGGGATTTTTGCTCCATGGACAGGAGTATTCCTGCGGGGCAGACGGGGGCTCGCAGCAGACTGGTGTGAAATTGTCTCAGTTGCTGACTCAGCCTCGTGAGGTTTAACCCATGGCCTTGGGCACACTGAGCTTTAGCGTGTCGCCTGCCCTTTGACCAAGCACTGCAACCCCAAGGTCATGCTGGGTTATGGAAAATATAGCCTATTAAAATTTGCTTCCTCTCCAAGTATTTAAGAGCATAAAAACTGTACTTTAACTGTTTTAGAAATGGAGATTTTTAGAAAATGTAATTTGAAAATAGATACATTTAGAAAATAAAAATTTTAGCTGGGTATGGTGGCGCACGTCTTTAATCCCAGCACTGCAGAGGCAGGTGGATTGCTGTGAGTTTGAGGCTAGCCAGGTCTACAAAGTGAGTCTAGGACAGCCAAGGCTGTCCTACACAGGACAGAGAAACCCTGTCTTAAAAAAACAAAACAACAACAACAACAATATATATGTATATATATGTGTGTGTGTGTATATATTTTAAAATGCAAAGTCTTTGTGGGTTTAACTTGCAATCTTGTCGGGAATTTTAAAGTCTTACGGGTTCAGAATGTCTCATATACACGTGGGAAACTTAATGCTCATTACATAGAATCTAAATAGAATGTATTTATCTATCTATGTACACAGAAACACACTTTCGTTTAGTTGTTTGTTTGTTTTTTTGAGACAGGATCTCTCTATGTAGTCCTGGCTGGCCTGGAACTCACTTTGTAGACCAGGCTGCCCTTGAACTCACAGAGATCCACCTGCCGCTGCCTCTAAGTTCTGGGTTAAAGGTGTGCTCCTGTCTCACCACTCCTGCCTAATGTTTATATTTCTAGTAATCCATCTATCACAATGATCACTTGCATTTTAAGTCTAACGTTTTTGTTGTTGTTACTTGTTTTGTTTTTGAGACATGGTTTTATATGAAGGCCAAGCTGGCCTCAAACTTTGGGCTATTCTCCTGCCTCTACCCCCAGTGCTGAGATGATAGATTTGCTCTACCACACCCAACAAAGTCCAAGTTTTTTTCCCCTCACCTCAGCTAATACTGTCCAACAGTGAAGTTGTGTGAATAATGCATTTACATTACTCATTGATTCAGTTTTCCATCACCCATAATGAATGACAAGGATGTTAAATAAATATTAAATTACATGGTAAAGCCAAAGTGTTTCTGTTTCTGTTTGTCAAGAGATGGTGATCTCCTTTGGTTCCACATTATTCTGGTGATATTCCTGGAAATGTGTGCCTATAGAATATAGTTTTGCTAGTGTCATTTCCCACAGAACCAAGAACAAAACAGGATATGTCTGCCTCATACTTATTTGGAAGAATTGCCTCACCCTGGTGAAAACTCAGACTTGAAATAATTTTAAAGAGATCTTAAGCGAAGTAAAACCTAGGCTTGTCCCTTTAATGACAGAGAGAACTTTTGACAGAATACAAATCCAAGCCAAAGGCCTAGAAAAATCACATTCAGCTTGAGATCTTTTCTTTGTTATTTTTGGTGAGGTCTGCTTGGAAGGAGGAAGCAGGGTGCTTCCTGGACTGAATGAGCCTTAGAATTGCTGTGGGCTGCTGTGAACCAGCCCTGGCACGTGACTCATTATTTAGTTTTCTTGAATAGTGGAGCATGAGAATGTGTCTCTTTGGCCAGCATGGTCGAAAGGCCCTTCTGCTCTTTGGTTAGGGTAAGTATATGATTGTGTCAGGAGTCAACAGGAAAGCACACAGTTGCTGGGAGGGAGTGCTGGGGCTGAAAGTCAGTCTTGCAGGCTTGAGAGGCTCCAGATGAACTCGGGAGGCAGCCTTTTACAAACAAAGGGGATGATGGGCTTGGCCTCTTTCAGAGTGTTAGGTAAGCTAAGACTTACCTACTGTGCAGTATCTTGTCAAACTCACTGTCGTCCTCATCCTTTGCACACATATATGGCAGTACAGGAACGCTTCCCTCACTGTATTGCTAAGATCTCTGGCTGTTTAAGTATTCCCTTGATGAGCCAAGTCACAGTCAGCAGCCTAGAGCCTGCTTTGGGGCACCCTTAGGAAGTTAGAACTTCTGTGCGTGCTAATGCCACCTTGGACAATTGTTTAAGTATCTCTTACTACTTGAATGGAAGGTAAACAGAGTCTAGGCTGTCCTCAGGTTCACTATTTAGCTGAGGACGGCTGTCATCTTCCTGCCACCAGCCGGACCCTTACTAGTTTATTAGTTAGTTGTTAGTTAGTTAGTTTCTTTCTTTCTTTCTTTCTTTCTTTCTTTCTTTCTTTCTTTCTTTCTTTCTTTCTTTCTCTCTCTCTCTCTCTTTCTTTCTTTCTTTCTTTTTTAAAACTTGTTATTTTGTTTTCAGTCTTTTCTGACTTTAACCATTTTTCCTGTTATCTTTTCTGTTTTTTTTTTTTTTTTATCTTTCTTTATCTGTTCCTGCCTCTCACCCCCTTAAAGGTGTCTAAGCAGTAAAAGACATATCTTCAACAAGAGAAGGGAAAAGCCTAAGTGTGCTTCTCTTCAACACGCAACATTTGTTGGTATCTCTCACGATTTTTCAAGGTCTGAGATAATCACTGTCCCAAAGGAGCCTCTATCATTAAACAAAGTCTTTTGAACTTTTGATGGATTCGAACTTGTGGTATTTAGTAATGTAAATCTCTTTGCCTTCTTTTCTTGTTACATTTTATTTCACAAACAGCATTAAAATCACGTTAATGGGGATGCAACCAATAAAAAAGAAAAAAAAATCAAGTCTTATTTGTAACTAAATATTTTATGTGTTTTTGGCAAACGTTTGCCAGAAAATCTGTATGGTGTTTATGCAGGTGAAACCACGGGTCAGCTTAGCTTTGCATTCTTTGCTTCTCAGAAGGACTTTTGAGTGATTGTATAGATGCTGTAGCTTTGTGCCGACTGTTCTCTGTGTGTCTTTTATCTCTTTTTGTGGTGATTGTTGTTACTCCCTCTTCACAGATGAGGAAGTTGGAGCTTAGCTGTGTGCATTAGTTGAGCCTTGCTGTGCTTGAGGCCTACTGCTGAGCTCTGGGAATTCACAGAGAGATGGGCGTGGGCCCTCCTGTGAGCAGTTCAGAAAAGGGTGGAAAAGCAAATGAGGTTATAAAACACAGCACATGAAGTGCAGTGACCCAGATAGGATGCAGGGGGATGCCTGCCTTAGGGTTGGTTAGAGCAACTGTGCTGCATCAGTGTCAGGGGACCGGAGTCTTGTTAAAGCATCGTGGTCTACTGAGAGGGTGAGTGTCAGCTGTGAAGCCTGCCCTGTGTGGAGATGGAGGAGGAGGCCGGTGTGAACCATCTGGAGAGCCAGCACTTCGCTTCTTTCTTCTATTTTTTATTTTATTATTATTTTTCATTTTTGGAGACAGAGTCTCACTATACAGCCCTGGCTAGCGTAAAACAGCTCTGCCTTCGTCTCCCCAGTGCTGGGATTGAAGGCGTGTGTCATCACATCCAGCTAAGTATCTCTTTCCACTTCACCCTTATAGGAAGATAAGCATTTTATTTCCTGACCCAGCACAAACAAATATGCGCACACAGAAACGTTGTTGTAAAACAGTATCTGGCTATATTGTGGTTGAACTAGAATATTTTTCAAACCATTGCAAAAAAAAAAAAAATACTGGTTGAAAACAGTGAAAAACACTGGTCTCAGGAATAATGCCCTCAGCATTTTGTTTCTGGTTTGGTGTAAGTGGTGGAGATCCAGAGTATTGGCATGGGGTTGTGATAGGCACCAACTAAAATCAGTAATGAGGGGAGAGGATCAGAGAGGACAAGATGCGCCTGCGGGACACATGTGAGCAGGGTATGTGATGCTCATGTATGGAAATGTCACCATCAGACTCATCGATGTATATAATGACTATGCTCTAGAAATATGTCAGATAGAGAGGAACCATTGGGAAGGGAGAGATGAGTGATAGGGTTTGAAAAGACTGTAGCACACTGGCTTGTTGAGCAGTGTCCTCTTCCTTTTCAATATCACGGCCTCGCCTTTCCTCCGTCCCACCCCCAGCTGTTTTCCTACATAATGTCTGATGTTTCAGGATTTAGTCAGCCTTTCCGGCCCAGACCAGGGATCCAGTGACGTTTATGACATCATCAGGGTTCTAGTGGATGGAGACATCAGTAAAGAAGCAATTGGTTTACATAGGAAATCTGGAAAGTAGGGACTAACTTGTGCATTTGAGGTGTTTATTTATCTCAACACTGACATGTTCCATGAGATTCGTGTGCAGAGGCAGGTGCTGGTGGCACCTGCTTCACTAATTCAGCGGAGATGGGGGCAGGAGAATTAGTTCAAGGGCGTTTTGGCTACATAGTGAGTTTGAGTCCAATCTGGGCTGTAGGAGACCCTGTCTGTAAATAAAAAACAAAAACAAACAAACAAGGAAGGAAGAAAAGATTAATGATCTCGGTATAGTGAAGTATTTACTCAGAGAGTGATGAGGTGACAGAATGACAGTGATTAGTTTATGCATGGTGTATTTGTAGCCTTCCTTAGCTTTGTGTGCTTACAGACATACAGGGATGGGTTGTCAAGGTTTTTGTTTGTTTTTGTTTTTCAAGACAAAGGTTTCTCTGTGTAGCCCCACTGTCCTAGAACTCACTCTGTAGACCTGTAGACCAGGTTGGCCTCACAGAGATCCATCGCCTCTGCCTCCCAAATGCCTGGCTGCAAGTTTTGATTCGTGTGGTAAGCCAGCAGAGAACAAACACTGGAGTTTCATGTGTACATCTTTCCTTAGCACTGAGAGTTTCTTTAAAGAAGTACTCTTTTAGAAGTATAAAGAATGTTTTCTCCTAGTCTTCGAGGTGCACATTTTTAATCCCAGGGACAGGAATATTTCTGAGTTTGAGGTTAGCCTGGTCTACAAAGCAAGTCCAGGACAGCCAGGGGCTCTGTTACACAGAGAAACCCTGTCTCGAAAAACAAACCAACAAGAATATTTTCTGAATTGATCCCAGTATCGTGAATAACACAAATGAATACCTATGTTAAAAATAGGAAATAATTAGCCAGATGGTGGTGCTGAATTCCTTTAATCCCAGCACTCAGGAGGTAGAGGCTCGGGGAATCTCTGAGTTTGAGGCTAGTCTGGTCTACAGAGGAAGTTAAAAAAAAAGAAATAATTATTATTTTTTTCTTGCAGATTGAATACCTGCTTAAGAAACTTACAGAAGCTATGGGAGGAGGTTGGCAACAAGAACAATTTGAACATTACAAAATAAACTTTGATGACAATAAAGATGGCCTTTCTGCATGGGAACTTATTGAGCTGATTGGAAATGGACAGTTTAGCAAGGGCATGGATCGCCAGACGGTGTCTATGGCCATTAATGAAGTCTTCAATGAGCTTATTCTAGATGTATTGAAACAGGTAGGAAGGCCATAACTCTGCTGTCCCTCCTCCTTAGAGTCGGGTGTTTGCTCCCTTCCTTCTTCCTCTCCCCTCTTTTCTGTAGAGATGGTGTAAGTCACTTACACCCCTTAAATGATCTAGGACAAAAGTAGGGTTGTCTGTTTTCAGACTTTTAGGATTCACCCCACGCTATTGTGATATTGAGGACTGACCAAGGCATCATGTGTTCTAGCAAGTGCTCTGCAATTGAGCTGTATCTCTAGTCCGAGGCTCTTGTTTTACAGAATTACAGTTTTGAAGTACAGTTAAGAATTGAGAAGTGGGGCTGGAGAGATGGCTCAGTGGTTAAGAGCACTGTCTGCTCTTCCAAAGGACCTGGGTTCAATTCCCAGCATCCACATGGCAGCTCACAACTGTCTGTACCACCAGTTCCAAGGATCTTCACATGAATGCACATAAATTAAAAAATTAAATAAATTTAAAAAAAAAGAATTGAGAAGTGATTATTTTTGAAGGCACTGTTCAAACTTCCAAACTATTTTTTGAAAAGTCTCCTCCTGTCCTATGTAATCCTGCACCCACTGATGTGGAAGACGCCGTGGTATATTGTCTGGTGGAAGCAACATGTCACAGAGCAGAGAGCCCTTGTAACTCCTGCCTGCCATGTGGCATCAAAGTGTGTGGAGTTGTTCAGAACATGTTCCCAGTGGTCACCTCTAGAGCTTTTGACTTTGGTCAGCTTTACTTTCCTCTTTTTCTATATTTTTAGAATATACTGCGTGATTTTCCAATATTTTTACAGAATTAGAAAAATACTGGGGGCTGGAGAGATGGCTCAATAGTTAAGAGCACCGACTATTCTCCCAGAGGTCCTGAGTTCAATTCCCAGCCACCACATGGTGGCTCACAACCATTTATAGTATGATCTGATGCGCTCTCCTGGCATGTAGGTGTATATTCAAACAGAGCACTCATATACATAAAATAAATTAATCTTTACATATAAAGAAGAAAAATACATTTACCTTCATATAGCAAAGCTGCATTTTTAACAGACTCTTTTTGTTTCCTCAGCATGCAACATGTCAGCATAGTGTCTGACATACCTGTAGGAAACTAATACTAATTACAACAATTGTCTGTCTGTTTTGAGACAGGATCTCACTCTAGCTCTGGCTGGCCTGAAACTCAGGCTGGTCTCAGATCTACCTGCTGGGAATGAAGGTGTGCAGCATAATACTGAATGTGTGTGTGTGTGTGTGTGTGTGTGTGTGTGTGTGTGTGTGTGTAGACACACATCCTACAGGCCTTTCAAACATCTTACTTTATTATATCAGATAATAACTCTGCTTTTGGCTTTTCTTATTTAGTGTCTTTCTTTGCTCAGTAGGTGATTGTTATTATCCTTGTTCTTTTTCCCATCAATAAACATTAATTATGGCTAAGTGTGAAAGGGCTTTAGTGTTACAAGGAAGACTGTGGCACCTCTCTGACCACCTATCTCTATGTCTCCTTCTGGTGTTCATCCCAGACATTTCCAGTTACCTGTAAATATTTCAATAAATGTCTTAAAAGGTAAGGCAATTTAGGATCACTGTTCACTTGCGGAGACTTTCAGAAATGTCTCAAATTACATGTAAACCTGGTGTGAGTGGTGTAGATCTCAGGGGAGCACGCCTCTGGCCTTCATAGAGTCTCAGAGCTCCATTCCATAGCCATGCAGGTGAGAAGCATTGGCATTTGTGTATTTTGGGCCAGGGATGAGATAATGGAGCAAATAGGACAATCAAAGAGGCATTGTCAGCTCTTACACATAAAAAAGCACACATATTTACGTTAGGTTTAATCTGTCATAGGGTTACATGATGAAAAAAGGCCACAAACGGAAAAACTGGACTGAGCGCTGGTTTGTGTTAAAACCCAACATAATTTCCTACTATGTGAGCGAGGATCTGAAAGATAAGAAAGGAGACATCCTCCTGGATGAGAACTGCTGTGTGGAGGTGAGTGGTCCTGGCCTCTCTGCACGCTTACCCTCTGCCGCCCCCTGCTGTACAGGAACTTTCCCATCCTCACTCCTGCAGACTAAACCTTCAAATGATTCCCAAGTGGACATTTCCAGAATAAAGTATAGTCCCTGTAACTCCTAAACCAAAAATTAAAGACAGCTGACAAAATGTGTGCCTAATAAGAATTTATTTTCTGTCTTATTCTTGTGAATAAAATATAAGGATTAAATCTGACAGATTTGTATTTAAGGAATCAATTATTGAGTAAAATCAAGGCAAAAAAAAATTCAGTAAGATGATGTTGGAAATTATTTATCGACTAAAAATTGAGGGCTTTTAATATAAAGCAAATAGAAGAAAACTGGTCATTAAAATGAAATATCTCAGGTTGTACTTGACGAAACTATGTAGCGAAGGATGGCCTTGAATTTCTTATCCTCCTTCCTCTTCTACCCTAGGTGTAGGGATTACAGGCATAAGATAGCATATGTCATCTTTTTTTCCTTTTTCTTTCTGAGACAGGATGTATATTTTTATGAAGCAGGGTCTCATGTAGTCCCTGTGTCTTTAAACTTGCTGTAGCCTTGGATTCTTTTCTTTCTTTCTTTTTTTGTTTGTTTGTTTGTTTTGTTTTGTTTTGTTTTGATACAGGGTTTCTCTGTGTAGCATTGGCTATCCTGGACCCATTTTGTATATCAAGCTGGCCTAGAACTCACAGAGATCTGCCTGCCTCTGCCTCTCAGAGTGCTGGGATCACAGGAGTGTGATACTGCGCTCAGCTAGCCTTGAACTCTTGATCCTTCTACACAGTGCTGGGATTACAAGTGTGAGCCTCTATGCCTGCCATGAGTGACCTATTTTGTAGTGTTAATTCTGTAAAGATGTAATGTTCTCAGGAGGGGGGAAGCAAGGTGGCACATGTCTGTAATCCCACACTCATGTTCAGATTTATTAATGCTGTGCCAGCCAATGGGTTTCCTTATATTCAAGTAAACTGAGCCCTGTAAGGTTTCCATAAGCTCTACCATTTTACCCATAAAGATAGAGGCCAAAAAGCACAAGGCACCAGCTGTAAAAACCTAGGTGTAAGAAAATGTCATAGCAGGCAGAGGTCTCCTGTGACAGTTATGTGGATGTCCCTTCCAGGGCTCCTGCAGGGGAACACTCAAGTACAAGAGTTGTATATGGAGAAGCAAAGAGCCTGGGGGCCCCTTGTCCTCACCAGGTGTTGAAGTTCTTCCTTTGTGGATGTGGCATCCCACATTGTCACTGTAACCATACGTAAGGCTGCCTGGAACACGGCAGTAGTAAACCAGACATTTGCACTGCTAGGTGTTCTTCACTGGCATTGAGTGTCAATTGAAGTTATATAGTTAAGAAATGAATTGAAATAGACAAGAAAACTTTAAGCCAGGTGTGGTGGCACATGTCTGTAATCTCAGCACTGGGAAGCTGGGGCCGAAGGGCTGTGAGTTCAAGAGCAGCCTAGTCTATGTTGTGAGACACTGTCACCATAAACAAACTCATATTTTCCCACTGAAGGACTACACTTCCCAGCTCCCCTTGAGGGCTATGGAAGTCATCTCCACCCCTACAAGAGGCCATGTACTATCTTCCTTTTCAGACGTTTTGGCATCCACCCATGTAGGTTGAAAAGATGCCCCCTTGCCATGAATAAACATGGTTCCACATAAAGTAGAACGAGTCTCTTTCTGCCCCCTCTCTCTCTCCAGCTGCTTTTTAATAATCCAACACAAACAAACAAAAAACAAGAATAAAAGTTTAAAGAACTAATCATGGTTTCTGTTTTAGTCACTGCCTGACAAAGACGGAAAGAAATGTCTTTTTCTAATAAAATGCTTTGATAAGACCTTTGAAATCAGTGCCTCGGATAAGAAGAAGAAGCAAGAATGGATTCAGGGTAGGACATTTTTATTATTTTCATGATAAAACTTGAGAGCAGAACTGAGTGTGGGCACAGGGTTTTAATCCCAGCACTTGGGAGGTAGACATAGGAGGATCAGGAGCTCTCTACCTGAAGTCTTCATGAAGGTCCAAGCCAGCCTGGGCTACTTTAGACTCTGCCTAAAAAATAAAAAAACAAACAAAATCGTGTGTGCTCCAACTTGTGTTTTCAAACCTCACAAAAGACGCTATCCAGTTTTGTTTCCTTATGTCATGGCCATTGCTACATGCAAACGAAAACCAAGGGAACATGAGTTCCTTTTTTTTTTTTTTTTCCTTCTCTTTTGGCCAATTTATTTGTATTTTGACTTTGTGAGGATAAAACTATATTTTAGGTCTTACTGTTCTAATTCTTGAAAAAGTATGAAATTTTATTTCAGGCTTATGAAAACTATTAGAGATTGTCTTGAGATTTTGGTCATAATTTGAAAGGCACAAAAGGAGTTTATGGATTGGTTTTGTGAAAAGAGAGCATTGTGCTAGCATTTCAGAGGAAGTGGGTGGTATGCAGACATGTTCACTTGCTTAAAGTATTTCAGAAGAAATGCAAGAAACTGTTAGCATTAGTTGCTGATGGCCAGGAAACCAGAGCTTGGAGAATAAGAACAGATGGGAACTTTACCTGAATGTTTGTTCATGCTTCTTGAATTTGAACAGTAGGTATTAGTTATTCAAGAAATTGAATTTAAGTGGTTGAAAACACCCAGAGCCAGGTGTGATGGTTCATGTCTGCGACCCCACCCCCCAGGAGGCAGAGGTAGTAGATTGCTCTCAGTCTGCACTGCATAATAGGCTTCAGAGTCAAACTCTGTTTCAACAAAACAGAAAAGGGGCTGGAGAGATGGCTCAGTGGTTAAGAGCACCGGCTGCTCCTCTAAAGGATCAGAGTTCTACGGCCGGCACCTGCACGTAATTTACAACCATCTGGTCCCAGGGGATCTGACACCCTGGTCGCCCTCCTCTGAGCTTAGGCGTACACATGGTGCACACATACATGCAGGCAAACCACTCAAATACATCACGTGAGTCCCAGAGAAACAAAAGAAGTGAGATTTATAGGAAGTGTAATGCATGTATGTGAACAGTGTGCATCTGGAATTTATGTGTCTCACGGAGTCCATCATGCTGTGCTACAGTATGGGGAGCTTCAAGAAACGGTGACTACTGTGATGTGTGTTCCCACAGAGGGAGGGAGGCGGTTTCGGAGACACAGAGGAGGGCAGAGTCGCAGACTGCACAGCAGCTACTAGGAGATCTGACTCTGCCCTTGGTGTGTCTTAATTTTATACAGCTTTAAAAAATTATTTGTTGTTATTGTATGTGTGTGTTCTTGATGTGTATCATGGGCACATGTGTGGATCCCAAGGATCGGACTGCTCCATGCTTGCACAGCTAGTGCCTTTATGTGCCAAGTCATCTTGTTGCTCCTTATTTAGTGATTTGAGGCGTAGGAAAGGACCAGGTGTATAGTATCAGCACTTGGTAACTGAAGACATCTATGTGTGTGCATGTATAGATGTGCCCTGGAGTGAAGTGTCTGCCTGTAGGCACAGGTATGCAGCAGGGACTTGGACACTCAGAGGGGACTTTAATGTGCAGATGGGAGCTGCAGAAGCTGATGTCCCTTAGGCCAAGCCACTGCTCACTGGTGCCACCTCACCCCACCCATCTGGCGATATATATCACTTGAGTCTTAGACACATAGACTGTAACTCCTTTCTCCTCATCCTTATAGCCATCCATTCTACCATCCATCTGTTGAAGCTGGGCAGCCCCCCACCACACAAGGAAGCCCGTCAGCGTCGGAAAGAGCTCCGAAGGAAGCTGCTAGCAGAGCAGGAGGAGCTGGAGCGGCAGATGAAGGAGCTCCAAGCCGCCAATGAGAACAAGCAGCAGGAGCTGGAGAGTGTGAGGAAGGTAGGTGTAGGACAGAGAGGCCTGGGGCAGAGCAAGGGCAACGCCGACCTGTTCAGTACCCAGCCACACAGCCTCGGCTTTGCGTCACCCATGCTCGGTTAGCGCAAGTTCAGGGGCGGTTTGGTGACCTGACGGTCACCAAATTTCGCAGATTTGGTGACCTGACGGAGTCCGGTGCCTGGGCCCAGCAAGCTGTGGTTTTAAGAGTAAAGCTCTGAGCTGTGCCTCCCACCCCCTCTCTCTTCTTAGTAGGTGGTGCTAAAGGACTTAGACTTGAACTGTTTTTATCTCTGCTCTGTTCACCCTGTGGAATACACACACAGAAGTAGAAGCTGAGCCAGCTCTGTAGTTACGAAGGGTGATGGAAAAGCCACGGTCTTGAACAGTGCTGTTCACTCAGCTACAGGAAGCCGCACTCCAGGGCTTGGCAGTTCCCCTCTGCGGCCAGACATGGCGCATTTTGTCTAGAAGTAGTCATGTGTTGCTCAGGGTAGCGCAGCTGTGGTGTGCACTGCAGGCCTCACACTCTGCTGCCCCTCAGGGTCTGTCTTTTGTTTTACTGTGATGTTTGTAGGTGCTGCTGTCCTTGTTGCTTTTAAGACAGGGTCTCAATGTGCAGCTCTGGCTGGCCTAAAGCTTGTTGTGTCGGCTAGATTGGCCTCTTAACTCTTGAAATCTGCTTGCCCTTGCCTGGGATTAAAGATGTGGCCACCACGTCTAGCCCTGCCTTTGTTTTTAGCTATTTAGAATTCATAGACAATGGGCCAAGCTTCTTCATTATGCTGGGTAAAGTTTCAGCCTTTTTCTCCAGGTACTTTTCCTCCCCTTTCACTCTTTCCTTATGTGCTGTTGAATAGACTGTTGTACAGAAAGTGCTCTCACTCTCTGAGGTCGTTTATTTTGTTTTTCTGTTCTTCTGATGATACAGTTTCTGTGTATCTCTTTAGTGGGGCCTTCTTGCAGCCCAAATAGATTGTTGAGCTCCTCTAGTTCATTTTGCCCCCCTAAATAACATCTTGTAGCCCAAGCTAGCCTTCTCTCCTAAGGGAGGCTGGTCTTAAGCTTCGGATCTTCCACCTTCCGGCTTCAGGGATCACAGGCGTGCTCCGGCACTGTCTGCCCTGTGTGGTTGGTGACAGAGCCCTGGCTTCCCCGATGCAGTGCAGGTTGCCCCACCTCTCGCCCAGCCCCCAGGAGCCTCTTCAGTCAGTTCCCGAGCATTCCAGTCAGGCAATCTTCAGCTCTATTAGGTTCTTTTAAATTTGCCTTTATTGATAGTCTCTCCTCTGTGGGATATTGTTATTTCTTCCATTGTGTCTTTGGCCATGACTTCCTTTCATTCTTTTCAGTGTGTTTATAGCAGTGGCTTTGTAGATATGCCTCCTGGGCTTCTTCAAAGGCACCGTCTGTTAACTGTTTGTTTTCCTACACATGGGTTACACTTTTCCTGTTTCTCATACTTTTTCTTAGTGTTTTAGAAGATAACATGTTGTGGGAACTATGGATACTAATGCTGACACCTCTACCCTCAGCTTGTCATTGTTTAGTTATTTATTTAGTGACTTGGCTGGACTGTTTCCTGGATGCTTGAGGCCTTTCAGGTCTGTTTCTCAGAGAAGTAGCCTTGGGTATGCGTGGCCACAGTAACCTGGAATGACCCTCCACACTGCTGTCCTCTCCTCCCTGTTAGGCTGTCTGCTTTGTTCTGTCAGCCCTAACTGCTAGAGTTCACTGAGTTATGGGTGTTTGATTTGCCTTCTGCAGTGCCCTAAGAACTAAGCCTCACAGTCCAAGGTTAAGTTCAGGCCATGTTTCCTCAAGATCAGTCTTTGAAACTTGTTCCTACCACATGAGGGCTCTGTCTAGCTGGACCTTTCTGGTTCTGGCAGGCCTACCTAGTCTGGTTGGTTTGCTGGCCTGTGGGGCTGCCAGCCTCCTCTTAATTCCTGTGGTCCGAATCTCCATTGTTTCCGACTGTGTCCTTAGCTTTGTACGCCTCACATCTGACAAAGTCATGTTTGGTGAGAGCCGCACAGCCTGCTTTCCTCCTTGAGCCAAACTTTGCTGCCAGGCTGGGTGTGTTCGATGGCATGTACTTGTGTGATGGCCTGAACCCGGGTGATGTCATGCACCCCCAGCACTTGAAAGGCTGAAGCAGGAGGATTGCAAATCATATGGTAGCACACCACATGCTCGGAGCCATGCTCCTGTTTTAAGAGCCTCTGCCACCAAGCAGCGGGCACAGCCTATTTCCTTCTTGGGGAGCTTTTGCCCCACAAGTGAGCTGAGACCGAGGTGACCAGACCTGTCTTCTCTGCCTGCCAATGCCCCTGACCACAGGCTGGAGTGGTTTCATGAAAACCCAGCAGCTGCCCCTCACTTACAGTAGCCTGGGCTGTGAGCAGAGGACAGGGGGCGCCCTTGTCTCTGCTTTCATCTGCCAGGACTGGCATTTCCTTCTTGCCAGGGAGAGGGGAGGGAGTGCCTGAAATGCCTTAGACTTTTTTGTGTGTTCTAGGATCCAGTTGATTGTCTTTTGTGACTATTCTGCTTTCAGTGTTTTTGTTTGTTGTGTTTGCTTTTTGTCCTTTGAAGGTGGATGGGATCAACTCTGGGGCCTTGTGCCTTGTGCACTGTACTGCTTAGCTATAGCTCCACGATACTCTGCAAACTTTAACATGTTTTGTTTGTTTTTTAAAATAACTGAACCAGTTGTTCCTGTTGGGAGTGGGGAGGGGGCCTTGGGAATGGGGGTGGGGGGCAGGTGGCTGAGGAAGCTCCCATGTCACCCATCTGGAAGCCTAGCCCTGGTAACCGATGAAAGGAGTAATGTGCTAGGTGACCGCCCTGTATAGAGACCTCCAGAGCTGGGTCAGACTGTGTGAGCATAGTCGCAAATGATTATGACTCAGCGGCCGTCCTCATGTTCTCTGTGCATAGTGTTTAGAATCCAGTCATTCGTGCCTGATTTGTTTTATCTGCCGAGTGGGCAGACTGGATGGAATTCCAGTGTGCCAGCTTGTATTCAATTTTTATTCAATGTTTGGCTTTTCTCATATACTTAAGGCTTTCTCTTCCACTGTAACGATCCTGCTTTTCTGGGGATGGGTGTTTGATCAATTAGAAACTGGAGGAAGCAGCATCTCGTGCAGCAGACGAGGAAAAGAAGCGCCTGCAGACCCAGGTAGAACTCCAGACCAGGTTCAGCACGGAGCTGGAGCGGGAGAAGCTGGTAAGGCTCGGGACTACATGGTGGCCACTTCATCCTGGCTTAGCTATGCCTTGTGGGGGAGACTGGGGCAGTTTGTCCGTGCATTATTTTTTATTGAGCACTTTCTGTGTGCCAGATAGGTAGAGGTAAAGGATGGGCGCCTTGTTTTCCAGACCCCTAAGCAGGATCGTATGCAGTGGGGTGACAAATTTTTGGTTAGTGGGGTTACCTGTCTTCATCTGCTTTGAGGTGTCCCTGTCATCCTGGGATAACTGTTCACCAGGATCCTTTTCATCCTCAAAAGACTTCTGGTTTGGACAATGACTGTTTGGACAGCGAAAGCACGCCCAAAGCCATGGCATTTCTCCTCCCTAAGGGGCAAAGTGAACACTGGTCACACCAAGGTCCAGGTTGCTTCATGGAGTTGGCTTGTTGCGGGGTGTGCGGCTCCCACAGAGTGCTGCTGTGCTGAAGCCGGTGCCGGAACATGGTGTTAGTCGCTTGCCGAGGTGACCTTCCTGTCAGTGTTGAGGGGGTGGACGGGATGCAGCTGAGGAAGGCCAGCTGCCCTTTCTCCCCGCTCCGTCTTTCTAGCACTAGTGTGATTGTGGTCGGTGCGTGCTTCCTGCATAGGTGTCCTGTGAGCTCGCAGCGAGCTAGCGTTAGCATCATTAACTGTAGGGTGTGGCAGTATGTGTGCCAGGGTGTGAGGATCGAACCCTGTGCCTCACACTACTAAGTAAACGCTTCGCCAGTAAGCTGTACCGCAGCCCTGTCTTTTTGTTTTTTTAGGTCCGGAGGGAAAGCCATGCCTTGTTAAGTGTACTGGTGCCCCAGGGGTGGGGGAGGGGTTAGAGGCAGTGGGACCTGCAGCTCATTGTAGGCTGCTCTGCCTGGGTGAAGGCTGACTCTTTCTTAAGATTTGGTAAAGATTTTTGGCTCTAAGATAGAAAAGAATTTAAACAGAAATTACACCTTTTTTTTTCTTGACTTGAATGGAAATATAGAGTAGAAAGGATAGAACATATACGGGACAGGAGGCGGCATTCGGGTTACAGTCTCTTTTCTTGGACTCCGGTGCTGATGTTGAGTATACACTGCCACTTCCTCCACCTTTAGCTCAAAGGTAGAGGCGGGGTGGGAGCTCAGCCTGGGGAAGAAGTCACCCGACTTTAATTGAGCAAGACCATCATCCTCTCATCCCTGCAGATCAGACAGCAGATGGAAGAGCAGGTTGCCCAGAAGTCATCCGAACTGGAGCAGTATCTGCAGCGGGTCCGGGAGCTGGAAGACATGTACCTGAGGCTGCAGGAGGCCCTGGAGGACGAGCGGCAGGCCCGGCAGGACGAAGAGACAGTGCGCAAGCTTCAGGCCAGGTGCAGCCCTCGCCCTTGCGGGCTTTGCTCGCCTGCTCGGGATTCTAACACCATTAGAAAGGAGCCTGAGTTTGCGAGCATTAGGCTGCCAGGGTGTCTGTTCTGGTCCTGGCTACAGAAACCTTTGCATGGGGCTCTAAAGAAGGGCCTTGTACTGAGCAGTCTGGTGGTAGCTGTGTTTGCTGGTGTGCCTCCATTCTGTTTCAAGGTATCTACCAGCCGGATCAGCTTCGGGGGAAACTGGGCTCTCATCTGAACGGTCCTGGCTGCACAGGGCCAGGCTGCAGCAGAGGTTTTGTGGATAAGGATCCCTCACTTCTTGTTTGGTGATCGACACCATTTCTCTTCAATAGCTATTACTTGTAATCCAAGTTTTAAACATTTTAAAACTGGATTCTCCCTCGACCCCCAAACTTTTAAAAATCAGGTTTATAATTTATGATACTCATATTCTCAAGAGAAAAAAATTTGCCTTGTGTCTTTGTAACATCAGGGAGGACAAAGTAAAATGAGGCACCTATGGGGATGGGGAGCTGTCCAGGTTTAACCCATTTTCCCATTCACTTCTTCATGATGCTTGTGGGAGGCGGTATAGGCGTGCCTAGCTCTTGAGCTGTAGCACCTCTGCCCCACATTAGGGAAAAGTTAGAAGGTGAGTTGGTACACTTTTTTTTGAGACAGGGTTTCTCTTGCAGCCTTGGCTATACTAGAACTGATCTGTAGACCAGGCTGGTTTCGAACTCATAGAGATCCAAATGCTCTGCCTCCCGAGTGCGTGCGCCTTTAATCCATAGGGCCCAGTGAAGCTGGTGGAATTTGTACAGCTGCCAGTCCTCATGTGGAGAAGCAAAAGATGCTGTGTAAGCCTGGGAAGGAAAGGAAAGGACCAATGAGATGGCCACGGGTAAAGCATGCTTGTGCAAGCCTGGCATTCCTAACTCTATCCCTGCCACCCACTTAAGGTGGAAGGAGAAATCTGACCCACAAAGTTGTCCCCTGACCTTCACACTCACGCCACAGCGCACACACACTCTCTCTCTCTCTCTTTCACACACACACACACACACACACACACACACACACACACACGGTAGTGATAATAATTTTAAAACATAATTGACTGGAAAAAGGAGTCTACTGTAGTTGTATACTTTGCCAAAAGTGGTAGGGCTGGTGAGATGGCTCAGTGGGTCAAGCCATTTCCATCAAGCTTTGTGACGTGCATTTGCTCCCCAAGACCCACATGGTGGAAGGAGAGAACCAAACCCAAAAGTTCCCATTTGATCTCCACATGCGTGCCTCGGCGTGTAGCCACACACAAAACAAGTGTAATTAAAGTACATTGTATTTATCATTTGGAAAACTGATTTGAGTCAAGATGACTCAGGGGGTAAAGACGCTTGCTGCATAAGCCTGGTGACGCAGGTCCAATCCATGGAGCCCATATACAGGTGGAGGAAGAGAAGCCGCTCCACAGGGCTGCCCTTTCCAAGGGTGGCAGTCAGAGTGACTAGACGTGTTTGAGCCACAGATTTACTCTGTGCCGGGAGCTTATAGATTGTCTCATGCACGGAGTCCATGCAGTGTTTCAGTGGTTTTGAGGGACATTGGATTTAACACAGCAGAAACTGAGTTGCAGAAGATGGGACAGCTCAGAAGTTCACAAAGTATTGGCTCCCCTGTGTGGAGAGGGTGCCTTCTGCAGTGTGACTTTTCTCTGGCTCTGGGGGGAAGGGCTTTCCTTTGGCTTGCGGTTCCAGGGGGAAAGTCTGTTTCGGCTGGGAAGCCATGCTGGCAGAAGCAGGAAGTAGCCCATCACATTCCCACCTGTGAGAGGAACAGGACGTGAGGTGAGGCTACAAAGCCCTCACTCTGTGACACATGGCATGGAAATGGGCTAGAAGAAGGGTCGGCAGAAGGACCATGTGGATCTTTAAATTTTTTTGTGACTAAACTGAAGTTGATTTTTATTTTTAAGAAATGGTCTCACAGTTGGGCGCAGTGGTGCATGCCTGTGATCCCAGCACTTTCCTGGGAGGCAGAGGCAGGTGGTTCTCTGTGAGTTTGAGGTCAGCCAGATCTATAGAGCGAGTCCAGGACAGCTAGGTCTACACAGAGAAACCCTGTCTTGAAAAAAAAAAAAAAAAAAAAAAAAAGACAGGGTCAACCCCCAGCTGGCCTGGAATAAATTACAGTTTATTCACTTTGTATCCCAGCTGTAGCCCCTCCTTCATTCCCTCTCACGCCCACCCTTCCTCCCTCATCTTCTCTCATGCCCCTCTCCAAGTCCACTAATAGGGGAGGTCCTCCTCCCCTTCCATCTGACCCTATCAGGTCTCATCAGGACTGGCTGCATTGTCCTCCTCTGTGGCCTGGCAAGGCTGTTCCCACTTCAGGGGGAGGTGGTCAAAGAACCAGGCACTGAGTTCATGTCAGAGACAGTCCCTGTTCCTATTACTAGGGAACTCACTTGGATACTGAGCTGCCATGGGCTACATCTGAGCAGGGGTTCTAGGTAATATCCATGAATGGTCCTTGGTTGGAGTATCAGTCTCAAAAAAGACCCCTGTGCCCAGATATTTTGGTACTAGAACTTTGGTTTTTATTGTATAATTCTGAAGACTACCTGATAGGAAATTTAGAAGAAAACTTTTAACATTTTATTGGAAAGGCCTGGAAGCTGAGCCATGATCTAGCTCATTATAACTTAACTCACTAAAGGTTTAGATTTGAGCCAGGTGTGGTAGTGCATGCTTAATTCCAGCACTCAGGAGACAGAGGCAGGAGGATTATTGCAAGTTTGAGGGCACCTGCTCTGCATATATAATCCCCATCTCAGAAGTCCAACCAAACAACCAAGTTCTGGGGTCATGTCTACATCCCCCGCTAGGGCAGTACCCAGCACATGCCGAGTTGGTAAGTGCTCAGGGAATTATTATTTTTTAAAATATTTTATTTATTTATTATTTACATAGTATCCTGCCTGCTTGTGTGTCTGCATGCCAGAAGAAGGTACCAGCTCTCATTATAGATGGTTGTGAGCCACCATGTGGTTGCTGGAAATTGAACTCAGGACCTCTGGAAGTACAGGTAGTGCTTTTAACCTCTGAACCATCTCTTCAGCCACCCCCACCCCCCGGGAATTAGTATTACTTTTTTTGAAACCAGAGCACTTATTTTCTGACTGACTGAAATCCTCATGATGAACTGGATGCTGCAACAGCTGCCCTCTTGGGCTTAGGTGTTGTTTCTTCATGGAATCCATGCCTGAACCTGCCATAGACAATGTTCAGGTGCCTCATCCGACCAGTCCTGGTGATGTTTCGTCTCTTAGACCTGGCACTCCAGTTATACTTCCTCATGCTCTTGTCAGGGTAGCCACATTTGCCACAGGTCGACTTCTGAAGGTGGTGGGCCTTAGAGCCACAGCAGCGGCACAACCTGTGTGTGTTACTGCGACACTTTCCAGAGGATGACGTTCTTTTCGTCATCTTGCTTCTGCCGCTGAGGCCAAAGAGACCGGAAGAGAAAGCACTTCAGCTATTTCCTATTACTTTTTTTTTGTTTTGTTTTTTGTTTCTTTGAGACAGGGATTCTGGCCTCAAATTCAGAGACCTGCCTGCTTCTGCTTCCTGAGTGCCGAGATTAAAGGCCTGTGCCGCCACTACTGCCTGGCTTTATTACTATTTTTTAAAAAGTGTCTTATCCCTGGTTGTCCTCAGACTTACTGTGTAGCTGAGGATGACCTTGAACTCCTGACCTTCATGCCTCCGAGGTCTCCTCAGTGCTAGGTTACAGACATGTACCACAGCTGTTGGTGCTACTGGATCCCACGCTTTGTACAAGCTGGACAAGCCTCTACCACCTGAGCTACATCCCAGGCCGTGGGAGCAGCTTCTGAATGACTGAAAGGGACCACATTGTGCCTGACGAGGTCGTGTGCGCTGCTGCCTCTCTTCCAGTTGCATAGTGTTTCTCTTGTGTTTGAAGGCAGCCACAGCCTGCGTTCTTAAGTGAGGTGTGAGTACTTACTTCTCATGGTACTTTCTGTCTCTGTGAGTTTGCAGTAGTATTTTACTATGTTGCACTTTTAGTTCTTTATCCATAAAATAAGGGTGATTGGCAGCTTCAGGGCCGAGAGGATGAAGTTAGATGTAGCAGGTACAGTGTTGAGCGTGATACCGTGTAGCTTTCTGTGCTTTTATCCCGTTCACAGATGGGGAAAACACACCATGTACACAGTTAAGGAAGATACTGAAGGAAAGTCTAGAATGATAGTGTAAGGCCAAGAAAATATCAGAAAAGCAAGCAGGGGGGCTGAAGATGGCTCAGTAGCTCAGAGCACTTGCTCTTGTGGAGGGGCAGGGTTCAGGTCCCAGCTCCCACATGGCAGCTCCCAGCTGATCCTCCTGCCTTCAGCCTCCTGAGTGGCTAGCGTGACAGGCCTGCACATGCGCTTGGCTGGTTGCGTTCTCTGTATAAGAGGAAGAGTGGAAGTGCTCAAGTCGCTAGTCAGAGGTTGGTTCGAGAACCACAGAAACCACCTTGGATGAGGGAAGGCAAGAAGATGATTTGTGGCGATGTTCTCAAACGGTTCTCCAGTTCCATGGAGGGCAGGTGGTCAGAAGGGGGTGTGCCTGGGGAGATTGCCACAGACATGGGTACTGGGTGTCAACTTTTGTCTGAGTCAGAGTTCCAGGAGGAACAGCTGCTCTGCCAAGCGCAGTTCTGTTCCACCACGTTCCACTGCCACAGGCAGAAGGCAAGGTCTGGATGGTAGTGTCTACACTGCGAGAGGGGTCCGCCTCCCACAGACCCCTGCTTTGCTTACTCTCTACCCGCACAAAGGCAGCCTAGCCCCTCCAAGTCTCCTCTCCCTCTGCGCCTCAGCACCCCAGTAAAAATGAAGAGGCGCTTACAGCCCACTCACTGCTTCTCCCTGGAGCACTTTGCAGATGGGTGGTGAACAGCTGTGAATTCGGAGTGCAGGCCAGCCTGTCTGCATTACTGGGCTCGGGCATGGGCACTGTATTCCGGAGACTTCTGCGGAGCCCGGGTGTGTCTCCAGGGGAGTCTGGACGGCTGGTGTGGTCCTTGCCTCTTCCTCGCCAGCGCTGTAGAGAGCAGATGCTGCAGGTGGCAGTGGCAGTGCCGCCTGGCTTGACTGTTTCTCCTTGTTAGACTTGTGTCTTGCCCAGTGCTGCCATCTGAGCGTGCTGCTGCGTCTTGAGTGCAGGTTTGGGCTGTGTGTCGGTTGACTTACTTAAACACCATCGCAGCTGGCTAACCCAGGCTGTTACAGCGACTAACACTGACGTCACACTCCTGTGTTGAAGTGACCTGGGACACGTTGCTTCATCTGTGATGAGGGACTAGTCCCTCCCAGGCAGGTTGCAGAGCGTGGCCCCACCACCTGGCAGGTAGAGGCCTCACTTCTTCTCAAGAGTGACTACTAAGGGCACTGACGTGCACTCTGAAACACTTGGAGAAAGCACTCTTGGCATACACTGTTGCCTAACCGCTAGTTTTCCTTCAGAGAGGGGTAAGATGGAAGCTGCTTGCAGGACGGTGGGCCGCTCACCAGCTTTGGGATGGGCACTCCTTTGGCTCTCAGTGTCCTTATAAAGTGGGAGGCGTTGGATGACTGAGAAAATGCACTCTCTGCAGTGCTGACCCAGCTGGGCCGGGGTCCCCGGCAGGACATGAGTGTCCTTTGGCGTTACAGGTTGTTGGAGGAAGAGTCGTCTAAGAGGGCGGAGCTGGAAAGGTGGCACCTGGAGCAACAGCAGGCCATTCAGACGACGGAGGCGGAGAAGCAGGAGCTGGAGCAGCAGCGCGTCCTGAAGGAGCAGGCGCTGCAGGAGGCCATGGCACAGCTGGAACAGCTGGAGCTGGAGCGGAAGCAGGCGCTGGAGCAGTATGAGGTGGTTGGCCTTAGCCCTGAAACACTGATCAGCCGGGCTAGGGGTGGACTCTGCACCCAGCTCTGCAGAAACCTATATAAACCATCCCCAGCACTCACTTAGCAGGACCTTGCTCAGCAGAGAGAAGAAAGAGGAAGTGTTTTTACAGAGGGTGAGGTACCTGTCCACTCAGGGACCGTAGAGGAGTGGAAGGGGAAGTTGACAGTTACACGCTGTGACAGAGGGTGCCGAATGAGTTCTGAGAACGCAGGCACCGGCAGGTGTAGGCAGCAGCCCACCCTGAGAGAGAGCACCGGGGGAGGTCACACCTGTAGAAGGTCACTTGCTCCCAGCCTCTCACTCGGAGGGGCCCATGGTGGCTGAGGTTCGAGGCCAGAGGAAGTTGCTGAGAAGCCACCTCCCCAACACCAGCATCTTAGTTACTGTTCTGTGGCTGTGATAAAACACTGTGACCAAGGCAACTTCGAGATGTGCTCAGTCAGAGGTGGGGAGTGAAGGCCTGGCGGCAGGGACAGCTGAGAGCTCACTTCGCATCTGAAAGCACTGGAATGGCCTGAGTCTTCTGAGCTCTCAGCCTCCAACCCCAGTGACACACCTCTTCCAACAAGGCCACTCTCCTAGTCCTTTCTAAATAGCCCTACCAACTGGGGACCAGGCATTCAAGCACATGAGCTGACAGGGGCCATTTTCATCCAAATCACCGTGACCATGGCTGTCGTGTGTGAGTGGCAGCAGAGAGAAGAGGCCCTTCCTTCAGAATGTTACTGTTGACATGAGGGCTGCTGATCTAGCAACAAGGCAGGTCAGGGATGGGCAAGCTGGGGGCGGAGAGGCAGAAAGCAGACACATGGGGGCCCATGTCACCGGCATGAGGTGAGAAGAGCCTTGGAGTCAGCTGACTGGGCCTCCAGCCCTGCTTGCGCCACCGCCACCGTGGGCAGACGCCTTAGCTCTCTGAGCCTGGTCCTTGCTAATGTGCAATGGAGTAAAGGTAGCTCCTCCACCATAGCATGACTCTGGTCATTTAATGAGAACCCACAGGTACACAGTAGGTGCCAGTCCATGCTGCATGGTTCCTAAACTACTACTTTTTTCCTAGGGAGTTAAAAAGAAGCTAGAGATGGCAACAAATATGACCAAGAGCTGGAAGGACAAAGTGGCCCATCATGAGGGATTAATACGCTTGATAGAACCAGGTAATGTTTATATATACATATTTACAAATTTTAATTTATTTTGTTGTATTTATGTGATTGAATTGTATTTAAAAAAAAAACCCCAAACAACAATAGCAGCGACCTTCTCAGGGGCATGAAGCACTTGCTTCTATACATGGCACCACATAAGGTGGGGCTGGGACACGCGCGCGCACTGCTAGCTCGTGGGATCTGAAGTGCGAGCTCATCCTTGAGACGGCCCGATGCCCTTTTTCCGGTCCAGAGCCCTCAGCAGTACCTGGATAGAGGAGTGTGCACTTGCAGTCCCCCGAAGCCAAGCTGCTGCCTGTGAACTTCCCAACAGCTGTCCCTAGTGACCCCAGTCGCCCCCCTGCCCTGTGGGCTGGTGGGAAGCCCTCAGAGGAGGGAAGTAGGAACGCTGTCCGTGCAGCGATGTGTGGAGAGGATCGGCTTTTTGCATTGAGAGTGTGCTTGTTGCTTAGGTTCGAAGAACCCTCACCTCATCACCAACTGGGGACCCGCAGCATTCACCCAGGCGGAGCTCCAGGAGAGAGAGAAGAGCTGGAAAGAGAAGAAGACCACGGAGTGACAGCTCTCCCGGCGGCCACCCCAGTCAGTCACACCAGTGAGGAGTCCAGAGCTTCAGGACAAGGACGCCGGCTTTGCTGCTTCTAGTCTTTCCTCGGCCCTCTGGCGGGGCCCACCTGCTAAGGAGGCTGTATTTACCTCCTAGCGCTGTGGGCGGGAATGTAGGCACAGGTGTAGCTGGGGCCACCTTCACGTCACTGTCACCGCAGCCTTTGCAGCCCTGTCTCAGCTCCTCTTTGGGAGGTCAGCTGCCTCCTTAGGCAGCACATTCCCTCTGCTGATTGGCTGGTCTGCTTGCCTTTCCTGTCAGGGGACAGGGCAAGCCTCATTGTTGGTGCTGTGATGGACAAGCCACCAGTCACTGGCCTTGTAGATGGGATCTGGTTGGTGTTGGATTTTTTTTTTTTTTGTTTGGTTGTTGTTGTTGTTTTTTCAGCTTTAGCTAAGATACTTCTTTCCCTGACCATCATGCACTTGGCCTGCTTCATTTGCATTTCCTTTCCCCTCACCTCAAAGGGAAGCATACCCTGGCCCAGTGTCTGAACCGAGTTCTTTGGGTGCTCTGTCCCCAGGCCCCTAGTCCATGTGTGGAAGTGTTGTAGAGGGTCTAACCTGAGATCAGTGGTGAGTGGTGGGAAGCTGGCAGGCCAGAGGCTGGTTGGCTGTAAAGTGTCACAGGGTGATGGCGCACGTTTCACTTGGACTGCATCTCTGACCCCCACCCCCACCCCGGGACCCGGGTCGCGGTTTCTACGCTTTCTGTTTGACTGTATCGAGGAAAGTTTTCAGCTGCCATCTGGCAGGTGATGTATGTGTTAGAGAAAAGGTGGAATTCGGTAGCAGAGCAGAGAACCCCCGTGTCCTGTCCTAGCCTCAGAGCAGAGAGCAGGCCATTCTAGGCACATGCGAATCTAGAGAGAGTTCAGTGTTCCTGGCGTCTTCAGAAGGACTGGACAGAATTTCGTAAATCTCTGCTTTTTATGACTGGAAAACATTTGCCAATGGAAGTCTTAAAAATTTTTTTTCTAATATTTTGGGCTGCTTAATAAAAGTGTAATTTTATTTAATGTTTATAGTTGCCTTCCTAAAGTTTATATTTGTATGCAAAATATCACTATCACAAATCTTCTTAGCTTAGCAGCTTACTTGGGTGTAGGTTTGTGCCTGGCTGTTCACTCGCTAGTGTTTCCTTGTCGAAGCTGCTGGACTATGAGACCAAGGGGACCAGGGCATCCCCTGTGGCTTGGTGATGTCTCCTCGGGGACTTCAGTGTCCTTGGAGAGAATTAGGAAAGGAAACTGCAAGTAGGTACTGACCGGTGTGAAATCTGGATGGAAGCAGAGGGCCTGGGAGTCCAGGGGAGACTGGGGTAAAGGGACTGCATGCCCTGGCTGGCAGGCCATTTCCTTACCCTGGACTTTGTTACAGTCAGAAGCATGGCCTGCAGCTGCCAAGGCCCTCTTTGTCTGCTCTGTGGGCCTGGATGCTGCCTGCTTCCTCCTCGTGCAGAACCATCCACGCTTTGTGGAAGGTGTCTGCAGTCTAGCGTTTGTTGCTGGTTGCCGGCTTCAGCAGCACTGTGCCTGGGAAGTGAAAGTCCTTCTAAGCAGTGGATAAAGAAGACAGCACAGAGATAGCTGTGAGGCTCTTCTGCTATCTACCATGGCTTCGGCTACATGCCTGTAGACCCCTCTCCTCGTCTGTATACAGGAAACTTCAGGAGTGTATGTCTGTGTGCTCATTGTAATCTGCCCGGTCCTCCAATGAGAGATGAGATTATCTGTGGGAATTATGAATGAAAAACATTTGAAAATCTGTCTTGGGATCTGCTATATTGAGAACGAACAAAATATTTATAATTTTCAAGCATTCTTACCTAAATGTTGTACAATGTAATATGCTCAACTTTCTTAACTTTTTTTCTAATTTTTCTAGAATATTAAAATGTTTTCTATGGGATTTTTGTTTTTTTATTTTTTTTAGCACAATGGACCCAATAAGAAAATTAAACAGAACATTTCAAAGATTTTGAATATTTTTTAAAAATGGTAAAAAGTGTATGTGTGTATATGTGTGCGTGTTTGCTAATGTTCATTTTCATACAGTCACATGGATATGGTTTAGGGATACTACTGAAAGGGGTTTGGAAGTTAAGACCCCAGGAAGTTAGCTGTGACATCATGTTCGGTATGTGAGTCACAGATGTGGGAATCTGGGTGGCTGTGTCAGCTCAAGGGCCTGACTTCTCTTTGTTGCTGCTCTTACCTCTGAAGCCTTTTTACTCATCTCCATTTTCTCAAATTTTTTTTACATCTTCGAGTTTTTCTTTCACTAGAATAAACCCTGGTTTTCTGTTTGGGTTTCTGTGGTCACCAGAATGAAAACTCCTATTGTGGACGCAGCAGGGCCTTGTTCTAGCTTGACTGTGTGTTGGCCCACTGGTCTTCCTTAGGGAGGAGGATGGGGAGAGGTGGGCATTTGTGAACCTGTTCTTTATTGCAGGGGTCCTCGAGTAGGGGCACTTGCTGCTGAGGGGACATGTGGCAGTGTCTGGAGACAGTTAGTGGCTTTCCTAACTGGAAGGAGGGTTGCAGGCTGTAGAGGGTGCCTCACTCCCCTCCCCCCCGGCTTGGAGGGGAGGGTTGTTAATTCCTGTTAAGCCTTGTTGGCCCTTCTGAGGCTTCCAAGTCTTGGTAGTGGACACATTTTGTGGTGGACCTTAGATTCCATCCCTAGTCCAGGCTCTGCCTCCTTTCCAGACTTCCCTGATACAGTCCGAGGGCTGTCAGGGCTGGGCACCCACAGGATGTGGATCTTTCTCTTTGTGTCTGCCTCCTCCACAGTTGAAAGGGCTAGAGAGATTGTTTCTCACTTGTTTTTTTCCCAAGATATGTTCTCAAGTAGCCCAGGCTGGCCTTGAGCTGGTCCCTCTGTCACCATCTCTCAAGTGCCACTTGATTTTAATACAGGACTGAGGATTGAACCTAGGGCCTCAAGGTTGCTAGGTAGGTGTTCTGCCCACTGAGCCACACACTCAGCCAGCCAGAGGGATTGCAGGAGTTGACAAAGGAGAGTTCCGTCTAGTTGCCCTCATTTTGCCACATCCAACCTTCTCATTTCATCCCAGTTCTCACCGCCCCCCCATACCAGCAGCCTAAGCTGGGTTTCTGAAGGTGGCCTCTCTGGGCCTCAATTTCTGTGGCTCCCCAACTCTCCTCTCAGCCAGGAGCATCCTGGGACAGGGCCCATCACAGACTTTCAGACTAGCTGCCACCTCCATGCTTGCTGTCAAAGTCTGTCCAATGGGAGTCACTTACTCTGCTAGGCTGCCAGAACCGGTGCTTTGTAAACAGTGTTTACAGAGAACTAGGGAAAGGAAGATTTCATCCCAGAGGCCCCAGGCCGGCAGCCCTGGCTCCCCTGAGCTGGAAGCTGATGACAGGGCACAGAAGGGCCCTTTCCCAGAGTGCTCAGCACTTGTTCCAACCCCCGCTGGCATTCAGGGTCCTTAGCTGGGAAGGAGTCTGGGCACCAATCACATTGACCTAGGCTTAGTTGTGACCCTGAGGCAGGATGGCTAGTTAGGAATAGAGGGGACATGAGAGCTGCCCCGCACCCACACTTCAATGCACACCTAGTTCTGAGCTCTCCTGCCCTGGTTGACTGCCTGCCACAGGGCTGTGCCCCCTTTCTGAAGGCCTGTAAACCAGCCTTCAGCCCGCCCTCTGGGCGAGCCATGTTTTATCTCTACAAGACCCATGGCCTCCAGCTGCACACGGTGTGCCTGCAAAAAGCCTCCAGCTGCCAGCACACCGAGCCTCCTGAAAGACTCCTCAAGGAAAAGTTCCTATGGATGAGAAAAGCTCGAGCGCCAGCTCATGCCTCCCTCCCTCAATACCTGAACTGACTTTCAAGCCCCCAGCTCTGTGGGCCGCGCTGGCACGGAGGCAGCTGCGTCCTTTTCCTCACCTGACCTCGACCTTCTCTTTCTGCCTAAACAGTAAACTCGTTAATGTTGCCTTCCCTGAAGTTTGTTTTTTTAGACTTTTATCCGTTTTTTACGATCTCACACATGGTTATAGTGTGCTTCATTACACTCACCCCAACTCCTCGCCTGTCCTCCCCGAAGACACCCCTAACACGCCCTTTTTCCACTTGGCCTTGTGTTCTTCTAGTCCGATCAGGGCTGACTGACTTTGCTGGCTTAATCTTGTGCAGGTGACAGCTGTGGCAAGTTCCCGAGCTCAGTGGCCGAAGGCGGCGGCCCACAGAGCTCTTCCCCATGCTCAACTCCTGCGTTCTCTTTGCCCCCTCTTCAGGACGTTTCCTGGGCCCTGGGGTGGGGTTGATACAGATGCTCCATTCATGGCTGCTCACTGGCGCTGACCAGTGGTGAGTCTCCTCAGCTGCTGCCGAGAAGCTCCTCTGGCCAGGTGGAGAGCAGCCCTCGTTTGTGGAGTAGATTGCTGGCGCAGCTGCACTGAGTTGAAAGGTGATGTCCCCAGGGGACCGTGGTTGCTCCGCTCAGCACAGCGTATTGGAGTGACTAGCGGGCGAAGGTCTTTTCTGCAATTAAGTGAAAACCCACCTGCACTCCCCCGGTCCAAGGCTCTAAGGGGAACGCCTTGGGCTGCTGGTGACGGTTCATCTCACTATGTCACCTAAAAGGGTGTGTGCTCTCAGAATGACCCTGCACAGATGATGTCCCCAGTGTCACCCCTAGAGCACAGGATGGCCTTTGCTCCTTAAAGACACTCCCTACACCTAGCATGCTGTCAGGGCAGTGTTTGGGGGGAAGTCCTGTGGAGAGGGGCTTTCCGTCTGAGCTAGGCCAAGCCGTGCTGAGGGGATTTCTGCTGCTTGTCTGGCAGGTGGCTGTGGGTGGTTGCTCATTCAAGGCTTCTTGAGAACTGGGGGAGTATCTTAGGTGCTTTTTGTGTCCCCACAGGCAGGTGTGCAACTTCTGAGGTGTCCAACGAAGAATGAACCAAAGAGCTCCAGAACTATCTAGTTTCTGCCATCTTGTTAGCCTCCCTCCCACCCCACGCAAGGGGCTGTCAAGGGGCTGGGACAGCCACCCCCTAGCAGGTCCTCGGGGGTCCAAGCCTTTGCTCCTGCACCTTGTGACTTCTTGGGTGGCCACTGAAGCTTTGTGCCATGGTCAGAGATGCTGTTTTCCAGCTCCTGACCAGCTCCTGCTGCTCCGAGTGACACCCCTGATGCTGTCTCAGCAGCTGTGTCTCAGGGTCTGCAGGACCAGCTGAGATGCCCCCACAGGTGAGACAGAAACAGGCCACTTCTCCAGCACAGTGTAGAGGTGCCTGGTCCTCAAACACGCCCTGGATGTTGCCCATCTGAGCTCCATGGACTGCAGTGCTGTGGAACAGCACCGACCCCATCCTGCTCAGACGCTGGAGACACCCACACTCTCCCTCTTTCTAAAGAAAGCTAATCCCAGCGTCTGGTCTCCCTTTCTCCCAGGAATATTTATGAAAACTGATACTAGAAAGTGGAAAACTCCCCACATGCCTTTGAGGGGACTTCCCAGACTCCTTCGATCGGCAGGCTTCTTTGAACCATTTCTCCTAAACAATTTCTATAGCTTTTTACTCTCACAAGGTGATGTGATACCCAGTGTGGGAAACAGGAAAAGCACCTGGGACAGTCAGCAAGGATGCAAGACTTGCTTGAAGGTTTGTCATATCTGGGCCCTCGGAGTTGCACCTGTGCTTTTGGGCCCAGTGGCCACCAGGTGGCAGCCGTGCACCACGCCCGTGGGTTAAGATGGCGGTGCCTGTGATCCGCCGCCTCAGGGTCCTCTCAATGGGAACAGACCCAATTCTGAGAACTGCTGGGAGCCAGACCCCACCTAATTCCATCGTATCTTCCCAACCCAGAGGGTTGACATGATTTACCTGTTTTACAGATGTGAAAAGTTGGGTTCAGGAAGGCAGGCAGTCACCCCAAGGAGACACAGGCTCTGGGGACCAGAGAGCGGAGGAGGTCTTGCCTTGTGTCCTCGCCCAGTGTTGTCACCACAGCTTTGGTTCTGGCCCTCCTTTACAAT